CAACATTTCAAGATATATAAAGTGTATCTCTAAGCCACATGAGAGAAAGTACTTAAGTAGTAATAGTAAAGTCATCTTGTTTCCTTAAGATTTCATTACATCCACAATCAGATGAACAGGGCATACTCTAGATATAAAGTCCAGAGCCCCGTGAGCAATCCATGATACTGGATACCCTACTATGCTGATCCATTGCATTAAAAACCTTTATGCCAATGTGGCAGCTCTGATAAATGGTATGCCAAAGATGTAAAAGACCATTCTTTGAAAACAAGAAAGAGAGCCACAGAGCCAAGCAGAGAGCCAGAAGAAAATGCAGAACACCCATAGGAGTGAAAAATACCAGAGATGGGCAAGTGAAAGACTTGGTCCTTGAAAGAAGGTCATGGAACTGTTTGGAAAGCTGATATATTAAAGCACCCAAAACTGGAAGAACATCTTAAATCTCTCATGTCTGCAGAAGTAACACCAGCCCAAAATGTGATTTCATCAGACTGCATGAACACAACAGGATGAAAATTAGTCAAAACTCAAAATACATGTTATCATATGTAACATCATCTGTGACATTTCACCACAAAAAGAAACATTGCATACCTATAATTCCAAGCAATCATCTTCCTAGTTTTAATTAACAGAATTTTATTTACTTTATACACAACTTGAAATAAAGTCTATTCAGTAACACTTCAGGACACTGAAACACTGCTTAACCTCTACCTAAATAACTACTGCTTTCAGGCAGTGGCTACCAAATACCAGTCCCATGGAATTCTGCCAATCCAAGTTCTGCAACAAAACTGCAAAAAATAAATACTGTGAACTAACTGTATTATATTTAATGAATAGTCCTTAATTTTTAAATTAAGACTTTATTCTTATTTAGCTATTAAACTTACTTTCTTTTTCAAGGTAAATTTAAGATGAAAACAGATATTTATTTGAATATTATTAGGGAACCTGCCCTGTCTTGAAATTACTTCGTTTTTGACAAAGGTTGGCACTGAACTTCATTAAATAAGAGCGTTCCTTGGCCTTGGCAACTGCAATACAATGTGGTTCAAGATTCTACCCAATACGGGTGTCATGGCTATGTGCTTGTTTATTCTGGGCACAGCCATTATGTACATCCACAGGTTCACTGAGGGGGGCAAGGAAGAAAGGGCTGTCCATTATTCATATTACTGGAGTTTAAAAGAAAGACACAGGAGCTCTCTGGAGTTCATCTTACTATGTGTCAAAGGACTTAGAGAACATCAGCTAAGGAAGCATTTCGCTGATTAATGAAAAATAAGTCCTTTATGCCCATCTACCCCTTCTACAAGGTTATACAATACTGCAGTGCATAATAGAAAACAAAAACAAAAACAATTTTTAAGTGTTTCTTAAATTAACTAGTTCTATTTCCCAATGCCTGTGTCCTTTGTATATTATTGCTATCATGCAAAGGAGATTCCCTTTGTGTTTACTAAACATTGTGTTCACATGAAGAAGAAACAATCAGGGAGGTCCCTTCACACTCTGAAAAACTGCAGCTAAGTAGCTGCAAAACAGTATACATCACACTGATTAAAACAATAAAAGTAAAATCAACAACAAAAGTATATTCCATTTCTACAGAAATACTGAGACAAAATATACACAAAACAAAAAGTCTCCTAAGAAGTTACTGTTTAAATAAGTGTGTAAATATAACTTACTTGCTACATTTTAAAATAATTCTTTATTAACTCTAAAAATAACTGCCCAGAAAACAGGAAAGTAAGTTTAATACATGAACAAGAAGTTAGAGTACCCTAAATGCAAAGGCATGTTCCATCTACAGACTTGGAAAATGGGCAAAGACCTGGGTCCACAACTAACTGTGACTGAACCTCACTTAATTTTAGTTTCCTCATGTATAAAATGAGGATAATACAATCTCTTTCAGAGGCTTGTTTTAAGATTAAATGATGTTACATAGTGGAAAATATTTAATAGACCTGATACATAGTAGGCATTCAACATTTGCTTTCCATTCCCCAGTGCTATATTAGCACAGTCAATAAGCATATGCCTCATAAAAATTTTGGGTTATAACTTTTTTAAAATCCCAGAATCTGGAAAACAGATTCTAAAAGAATTGACCTATAACTAGATTTCTCTGTTATTATATTCAGCTTTGGAGTTATTAAAAAGTGTCTAGTCTATTCAATATCACCATCTGCTAACCTACTGCCCACTTAGAATAACTCTTAAAACATACACATACTCTGGCGCCTGGGTGGCTCAGTCATTAAGTGTCTGACCTCAGCTCAGGTCATGATCCCAGGGTCCTGGGATGGAACCCCGCATCAGGCTCCCCGCTCTGTGTGAAGCGTGCTTCTCCCTCTCCCATTCCCCTGCTTGTGTTCCTTCTCTCACTGTATCTCTCTCTGTCAAATAAATAAATAAAATCTTTAATATAGAAATACACACACACACACACACACACACACACAGCACTGGCTCAGATTAGAGAAAATTGTATTCACCAACAATCATAACACTTGCAAGAAACACAATCCTGGGGCGCCTGGATGGCTCAGTGGGTTAAAGCCTCTGCCTTCGGCTCAGGTCATGATCCCAGGGTGCTGGGATCGAGCCCCACATGGGGCACTCTACTCCGCAGAGAGCTTGCTTCCTCCTCTCTCTCTCTCTCTCTCTCTGCCTACCTCTCTGCCTACTTGTGATCTCTTGTCTGTCAAATAAATAAATAAAATCTTTAAAAAAAAAAAAAGAAACACAATCCTACATGAAATGTCCTTCTGGAGACTATAAACATTCTGACAAAGATATTACACACAACAGTTGTTTATTGTAATCAGATCAGCAAATAAATAAGTGAAAACAAAACGGGTATTTCCTGCCATTGTCTTCCATTGGAAAGAAAGGTATAAAACAAGAGAGAAAAAAGACAGCATACAGGCAAGAGAGAGCTTATATCCAGTAACAACAGGATATATCATGCTCGAAGTTACGGTCCATGAAATGACTTATGAACTTAATTCAAAAGTATCTTTACATTTATTCATCAATAATCACTCTTAAAACAACACGGCAAATGATACAAACATATAAAAGTCTCTTACTAGAATGATTCCTCTACTATGAAATAATTTCAGGAGCAGAAACAGGAGGAAAATAAATATCTACAACAGACTTTTTGTAATAGGCAAATGCTATTGTAATTAGGACTAAATTCACTGTCCCTATGGTGATTAATTTTATATGTCAATAGGACTAGGCCACAATAACCAGATTTGGTCAAATATTATTCTAGATGTTTCCGAGAAAGTAGTTTTTGCATAAGATTAATATTTAAATCAGTAAAGTTTGAGTTAAGCAGATTATGTTCTATAATCTGAGTGTGCCTCATCCAATCAGTTGAAAGCCTTAACAGGAAAAACTACTGACCTCCTTGGAGGAAGAGACAATTCCATCTTTGGACCTGGACTGCAACTCTTCCCTCAGTGTCTAGATTTGGACTTGCCAGTCTTCACAGTCATGTGAGCCAATTTCTTAAAATCTCAATCTCAACTTCCCTCTCCCTCTCTCTCTCTCTCCCCATACAACTACACATATATATACCCTACATCATACTGGTTTTGTTTCTTTGGAGAACCCTAACTAATATGACCCCCATACCATTAAATGCATCCCTCAACAAATGATCCCATCACCAACTGCATATAATCACCTTACCCTTCCTTTTGCCTTATTTTTTTATAAAGTGATACCTCAATAAATGAATCTTGTAAAAACAAAAGCAATCTCTTTCATCATACTAACGTTAGCAGGGTTGATAAGGAGTAGAAAACCTTTCAAAAACTGCAAACCCAACTCAGCAGGTAGGTGAATGCCTTCCACGAACACATCTTTTCATGGAGTTTCCACAGGTCTACATGCCCCTGAACTACAGAGGGCTAAACATCAGGAAAACAGAAGTCAACAAAGCGGCTATACCATAGCGGCTAACCCTCTTTGTAGCTCCCACTCTTGTTCAGCGCCTCTGTAAACACATCAGCTCCCTAATTCTCGTGCTCTCGTGTACTGAGTCCCTCTAGTGAGATTATCACTTCACTTTTCGCTCTTTTCAACTCCAGAATTTCCGTTACGTTTTCTATAATTACTAACTCCTTATTGAGGTGCTCTATTTGTTGAGTCACTATTACCACACTTTCTTTAATTTTAGAAACACGACTCATTTACTTCTTGGAACATATTTTAAATCCTTATCTGTAAAATTTAACATCCAGAGACTAGCAGAACAGTTCCTACTGCCTCCCTTTTTTTCCTCAATGTGACACACTTCCTTGTTTCTTGGAATGTGTCCTAACTTTATGTTGAAAACTCAACTTTAAAATTATATAAATATAATACAGTATAACAACTCTGTAAATCTGTCTCCCTCTACAATGTGTAGTTACTAATATCTCTGCTCAGTTTTACTTTTCTTTAATTCTTATTATTTTAAAGCCTGGTTTCCCTGGGTTGCCCCAAGTCTATGTAGCTCAGTGGTTAGTCAATGATTTAACAGAGAATTTACTCAAATACTCAATAAAGGCTGTCATCCTTTCCAAAAGGATCTGTGTGTGGGTACTGCAGCACATTCAACATTCAGAACAATTTCAAGGCTCCCAAGATTTTAGTTTGGTCTCCATAAAAGTTACTATGATAAAAAAAACACATAAACTTAAAAAAAAAACTTAATGATGCTAATCTTTTATTTCAAGACTGAATTCTGATCTATCGCTTGTTTTCTTTTGTCTCCTGCTATCACCCTGCATATGAGAAAACAAGAAACAGAAATCACAAGACTGGAGCCACAGGAAACCCTAAATATGCTTTTAATTCTTTTCTCTTCTTTCTTGTAAGAGCATTGTCTCACAGTAACAAGGATTTTAAGATACCAAATTCACCCTCTAAAATAACAATACAAATTTTTAATTGTGGTTCAAAGAATTTTTTAATTTCCTTACCCAGAAGATCCAGTGCTCTTACAAACACCAAGGAGGGGCCTTTTTTCAGCAAAGTTGTCACACTTTTGAGTACCTGAAAAGGAATATAAAATAAAAGGTAAAATAAAACTTTGAGAAGGATTCTTTTACACTTTCCATTATTTTCATGCTCTCAAAATATAGGCAGCTAAAAAGATAGCAAAACATTCATGACAAATTGACATAATACACTTGATTGAACAAAAATAAAACAGCTATAAATAAACCTATAACTATTTTTAAAATTGAAACAGCATTTAAAATATCTTTTTTAAAAAGTTGGCACCAGCTTCAATCTTATACACACGGTCCATGAGATCAAAAACCACCCTGAACTTCACCAATAAATTACCTAAGACTAGTATAATTTTCATGTCAAAAGTAATTAAAGGGAGGTAAGAACAGAAAAATTATAAAATTATAGGCCATTATCAATATACATAAATGCAAAAGTCCTTTTAAAAATAGTAAACTGGATAGCAATATATTAGAAAAAAAAGCAAAATCTCATAACAAAGTTGGATTACCCAAGTAATAATTTCACATTACAAAACCTATTAATGTAATTCATTATATTAGCATTTCAACAAATGCCAAAAAAGCATTTGATTCTACACCTAGTCATGATAAGAACAAAAGAAAACAACAAAAATAAGTTTTCTTTTCCCAGTGATTATTTACAAAATATTATATAACAAAATCATAGATAATGCTTTAGATCATTCCCATGAAAATGAGTAATAACACAAGGATACCCAATTAACTGTTCCTATTCAACCCTATACTGAAAGCCCTAGACAGGATAATGACAATAATTGAACTCAACAATATTACTGGATATAAAACCAATGTAAAATAGCAGCAACAAGCAGAAGAATAGTCAGGAAATACAAAAAGGCTCAGAACCACATAAAAAGGTGCTCAACCTCACACATGAGAGAAATTCCATGTAAAACTATATTGAAAAATTATATTGAAATTTGCTAATTTTGAAGAAGTGAAAATGGTACTATGGTTATAATTTTAAGATCCTTTATCTTTTGGAAATAAATAATAAAATATTAACCAAGAGGCTGGTACAGTATCTGGAAGGGGATAGTTCGTAATATTTTGGATGAAAGAGAATAGATGCTAATGAATTAAAAGTAGCCATAAAATGATGGGTAATAGGTTCTTAAAGATTGTTATACTATTTTTACTACTTCTAAGTAAGTTAGAAACTTTCCATTAAAAAACTTTTAATTCGGGCGCCTGGGTGGCTCAGTGGGTTAAGCCGCTGCCTTCGGCTCAGGTCATGATCTCAGGGTCCTGGGATCGAGTCCCGCATCGGGCTCTCTGCTCAACAGGGAGCCTGCTTCCCTTCCTCTCTCTCTGCCTGCCTCTCTGCCTACTTGTGATCTCTGTCTGTCAAATAAATAAATAAAATCTTTAAAAAAAAAAAAAAAAAAAAAAAAAAAAAAAAAACTTTTAATTCTACTAATATACATTGACCTTCACATAAGACCTTCTCAAAAAAATCCAAAAGTCCTGTAAAATTCTCTGGCCATATCAATCAAAATTCTAAATGCAAATAGCCTTTAAGAGAGAAATATCACTGCTAAGACTTCACCCTACATATATAATTAGCCATGAGGAAAATAATTTGAATACAAAGTTATTCACTATAGCATTGTTTGTAACAGCAGAAGACTACTAAGTTCCAAATATATAATGAAGTATTTCCCATAGCTGTAAAAAAAACAAATGTATACTTCATGGAAATATTAAATGAAAGCTAAAATATAAAGTGGAAACATACACACACACACACACACACACACACACACACACACAAATAGAAAAATACAGAATACTATCCCATCTTTTGTATAACATGGAGAAAGAAAGACTTATTTGCATATATACAAACCTACACACACTCTCTAAGGATACATAAAAAATCCTAACTAATGGTGACCTATGGGAGGGAAAATGGAAAATGCAAAAGACAGGGAACAAAAATAGGGAAAAAAGCTTTCACTGTCCATATACTTTGTATGTTCTAGTTTTCAAACCATACAAATATATTAATTCCTCCTGAAATTTTGCTTTGTTTTTAAATAAGGAGACAAATTCCAGAAGAGACAAGTAAATGGTTTCATCTTCTGAGACAAGCTGGTAGACTGAAGACCTGCATTTCATTTTATCCCTTCTGAAAATTCCAGTTAGAGTACATTAAATCAAACAAGGTTGAAAACTATATAATGATGCCCACAAATTTTGGAAACAGATAATTGATGACTAACTTAGCAGCCCTAAGTAAAAGTTCAAGCTCATCATGGGGGAAAAAAAAAATCTGAGACTTAAACAATTTGATACCTGATTATGTTGGGTACACCTGAGATTTATCCTTACACAATTAGGAGATTGTAAAAGAGCTTGTGAGCTTTCTCTGGAGAATTTAACAAGTCAGTCCATGAAGAAAGACCAAAAGACACTGTCAATCAGAAAGCTCCACCAAAGAGTACAACCAAAGCACCAAACAGTAAATTAAAAATTGACAAACTCAACACAGAACTTTTGATCAGGTTTTTAGTTTGCCACTCACAAATACGTGCAGACAATGAAAACAATCATCTGCAAGTGTCTAACTCTAAACAGGAAGAAAAACATCAAAAATTACATATATATCTATATACATATAATCACTAATAATTTATAAGATACAAGAGAAGATAATGTAGTCATGGAATAATATAAGAATGCAATGAAAAATGGACTCTTGGAGAATAAAAGGAGCTCCTAGAAATTAAAAAAAAAAACAAGATAGATTATTTAATAAACTCAACACAAGGGACAAAGGTAAAATTGAGAAAAATTTCTCAGCAAAAATGTAAAAACTAGAGGAAAACAGCATTAATATATACACACATACACATAAAATGTTAAAAGAACAGCCCAAAGTCAACTTCTGGTCAAAAGTCCAATTTATAGATAGGAGAAGAGAAAAGGGGAAAAAAAAAAAAAAAAAGAAGAAGAGAGAGAGAGAGAAAACAGAGATGAAGAAATCATCTGTGAAATATTCCAAAACTTTTTCCCAGAACAAAAGAATGACTTTATGAGCTCTCTGAAGGTCTGGAACAATAGATTCAACAAACAACATCAATGTGCACCATTTCATGATAGTGATAACAAGAAGTTTCTACAAGCCCCCACGGAGAAAAAAACAGGCTATTTACAGAATCAGGAACTCCGATGGCTGCTTTAGGTATTAATAATATCACAAAACCCTACAGCTAACACCATATAGACTAAATGCCTTCCCCCTGAGGTGAAGAACAAGGCAAGACTCTCCACTCTCATCACTGCTATTTAACATACAATTGGAAGTTCTAGCTAAAGCAATAAGACAAGAAAGAAAGAAAAAAGGCATGCAGATAAGAAAGGTAGAAATAAAATCCTTGGGTGCTGATAACATGACTAATACACAGAATCAACAACCACAAAAACAAACAAACAACAACAACAACAAAAACCTAATGCTAATAAGTGAGTTAATCCAGCAAGGTCACAGGAGACAAGATCAACAAACAAAAAATCAAACGTGTTTCCTTTTTTTTTTTTTTTTTAAGATTTTATTTATTTATTTGAGAGAGAGAGAGAATAGGAGGAGGGGGTGGGGAGAGGCAGAGGGAGAGGGAGAAGCAGACTCCCCACTGAGCAGGGGAGACAAAGACACGAGGCCTGATCCCAGAACCCTGAGATCATAATTTGAGCTGAAGGCAGATGCCTAACTGACTGAGCAACCCAGATTCCCCCCAAATCAAATGTATTTCTATATACTAGTAATGGATTAACTAATAATGAGATTAACTGTACAACAACAATTTGTACACCTGAAATTAACATTACACTGTTATTACACCAACTGGAATCAAACTTTTTTTAAAAAGTAAAGTAACATTTATAATTGCTCAAAGGAAATTAAATGAATAAATCTAACAAAACACATGTAGGATTTATATACTGAAAACTGCAAAATGCTGATAAAAGAAATGAAAGATAATCCAAATACATGGAAATATATAATTGATATGATACACAGATTAAGGAAACAGAAGAGTACAAACAGACCCACACAAATATGGCCAACTAATTTTTATAAAGGTATAATAGCAATTAAACAGAGAAGAACAGTCTTTTCAACAAGTAGTCCTGGAGCAACTGGACATGCACAGGAAAAAAATAAAACTGGACCTCAAACTGGACCTTTATCCAAAATTAACTCAAAACAGATCACAGATTTATATGTAAAACTATGTAACTTTCAGAAGAAAATCTGCAGGACTTAGGGTTTGGTGAAGAGGTCTCAGGCATCAAAAAGTATGATGCATAGGACCAAAAAAAAAAAAAAATCAATAAACTGGAATTAAAATTCTTAAAAACAAGCAAAAAAATTAATAAGAAAACAAAAAACAAGCTACACATTGGGGAAAAAAATATTTAGAAAACCCATGTCTGACAAAAAAACTCATACCCACAAAATACAAACTCAAACTCAACACTGAAAAAAAAATACAATCCAATTAGAAACTGGGCAAAAGAAATAAAAAGATATTACACTGGAAAGAAGATATGGATGGCAAATAAAACAAGGAAAAGATTCTCAACATTATCAGCCATCAAGAAAATTGAAATTAAGACCAAAATGACATATAATTACATAGCGATTAGAATAACTAAAACAGAAAATCATGGTAATAACAAGGATTGGTGAAGACGCAAAAAATCTAAATCTTTCGTGCATTCTTGGAAATGAAAAATAGTACAACCCCTCTTAAAAAAAGTTTGATGTTTTCTTTAAAAACAGCAAAAGAGGCACCTGGGTGGCTCAGATGGTTAAGTAGTCTGCCTTTGGCTCAGGTCATGATCCCAGGTCTTGGGATGGAGCCCTGCATTGGGCTTCCTGCTCAGCAGGGAGTTGGCTTCTTCCTCTCCCTTTGCCCCTCCTCCCCACTCATTCTTTCTCTCTCACTCAAATAAATAAATAATCTTTAAAAAAAAAAAAAAGAGTAA